TAATTCCACATAAGTTTTAGGAATAGGTAAAGTTTGCCGGGCACAGTGGCCCATGCCTGTAATCCCAGCAGCTCAGGAGACTGAGGCAGGAGGACTGCAAGTTCAAAACCAGCCTCGGCAACTTAATGAAGCCTTAATCAACTTTGCAAGACCCTATCTCTAACTTAATCTTTTAAAAAAGTGCTGGGGATGTGTCTCAGAGGTTAAGTGTCCTAGGTTCAATCCCCTATACCAAAAAATAAATAGATAAATACATAAGTAAAGTTTTATACATTGCTGCTAAGAGGACATATGAAATATCTTTACCACCTGAGAACATGGACATGGATGTGATCTATAAACATGTCATTTTTCACTAGCATGTCTCTAATTATTAGCACATCTTGTCATGTGCTTAATGGCATATAAATTTACTTTCCTGTGAACTTATGTATTTATTTTTCTGATGACCACTCTATAGCCTTCGTCCATTTTTGTTTAGTTAATTGCATTATTTTTTATTAATTTTTAAGTCCACTGCAGATATTGCAATGTGGACCCTTTTTGTTATACTGTGTAGTACAGTAAATATGTTCTCCTACTCAATGACTCTTTGTTGACAGTGTCTTTGGCTGAACAAAAGTATTTTTTGTTTTGTTGTTGTTGTTTTTATAGATAGACACAATACCTTTATTTATTTTTTATGTGGTGCTGAGAATCAAACCCAGGCCTCACACATTCTAGGCAAGCACTCTACCACTGAGCCACAACCCCAGCCCTAAACAAAAGTTTTATAAATTCTATTTGTCAGACTTTTTCCTAATGGTTTCTAGGTTTAACATCATGCTTCTAAAATCTGTCTTTGTCATATTGCTTTGCATAAAGATTACTTGTTTGTTTTCATAATTTTCTGGTAGGTTTTTAAATTTTAAGTATAGAAATTAGAATTATATGATGCAATTTTCTGTATAACATTAGAGAACTTTGAGTGTCTTTAATATTTTTATGCTTAATCTACATAGACAGTAGGGGATCCATTTTTCCCCCAAATGGATGCACAACTGGTTTAACTCATTATTACGTCTTTGATATCATCTCCACCTATTTCAACTGCCGTCTTTGCAATATACTGAGTTCAAACACTTATCTGAATCTGTTTTTCGTGTCCTTATTTTATTCCACTGATTTATCTGTTCCTTTACCAACACCACACAGTTTTTAATCTCTGTTGCTATAAAGTTTAGTGGAGATCTGATGGAGGACATTCAACCTCTTGTCTTTTTATTTTTATTTTCAAACTGTTCTGAACCCCCACCTTCTAACCTGTCTTTGACATCCACTTTTCATGTGGATTCTCAAACTTAAGTGTTCCTCTCAAGTACCACTGATACTAGTCCTTATCAATCACCTGTTTAGACTATTGCAATATTGCAAGCACATTAACTGGTTTTCTTTCCCTAGTTTGGCCCACTCTCCAAGCTCTCTTCATAAGGAAATCTGATTATTTTGAGACTTTTAACACCTTATTGAGCTTATAATACGCATACCATACATTTCACCCATTTCAAATACACAATTCAAGGGCTGGGGCTGGAGCTCAGTGGTAGCACACTTGCCTGGCATGTGCGAGGCACTGGGTTCGATTCTCACCACCACATATAAAGAAATAAAATAAAGTCTATCAAGAACTAAAAAATATATATTTAAAAAAATCAAATACACAGTTCAATAAGATTAATATATTCAAGTTTTACAACCATCACCACTATCAATTTCATGACAATTTCATCACCTCCGAAAGAAACACCAGATCCTATGGATAAACACCCCTCTACCACCATCTTCCCCATCGATTCTCCACCTAGATCTATGCAACCATTAAGGAACTTTTTGCCTTTTCAGGATTTGTCTTTGATGGACATTTCATAGAGGTGAAATTATATAATATGTGGTCCTTAGTGACTGGCTTCTTTTACTTAGCCTGATTTTTCCAAAGTTTATTCTATCTGTAGCCTGTGCCAATATTTCGTTCCTTTTCTTGTCTAAATAATATGCAATTGTACCTCATTTTATTAGTTCATCAATTTATGAACATTTGTATTATTTCCATCTTTAACTTATATATAAAGTGCTTCTGTGAACTTCATGTACACTTTTAAATGAATTTGTTACATCCCAATAAATAACTCTATGGAGATTTTTCTTGTAATTGCATTGAATTTATGTATCAATTTTGGAGAAATTTAAAGGTTTACAAAATTGAGCATTTCCACCCAGGAAAGTTGTTTGTGTTTTTGTTTGTTGCATGACTTGGTCCTTGTTTATTGCCTTCCATAAAGCTTTATCATTTTCTTCATAAAATTCTGGTATATTTCTTTCTTGTAATTTCTATTTATTTTACATTTTTTCAATTTGAGTGAGATTTTTAAGTTAAATTTTCTATTTGGTGGTGGAAGTATGTAGAAAAGATGCTCGTTTATTTTGACTTTGTATCTAGCTACCTCAAGGATCTCTTTTATTAATTTTCCTGATTTTTTCTGTCAATTTTCTTTTATCTTTCAGATAACTAATTATATAATCTGTAAATATTAAAAATTTGTCTTCCTTTGCAATATTTGTATTTCCTATTTCTTTTTCATTTTCAAATACCATTAGCTAGATTCCAAGGTCAATGATAAAAAATAATATCTGTATTGAATATGCATCTCTTTTCTTATCAACCTTAATTCTTTTAGATGCAATCAATATTTCAATCAAAATTTTAAAATTTGAATAAATCACTGAACATGGTGACATAATACCTGTAAGTGCAGCTACCATGGAGAGTAAAGCAGGAGGATGACAAATTCAAGGCCAGTCTGGGCAATTTTTAGTGAGACCCTGTCCCAAAAATAAAATAAAAAGGGCTGGAGGGGCTGGGATTGTAGCTCAGTGGCAGAGCGCTTGCCTTGCATGTATGAGGCACTGGGTTAGATCCTCAGCACCACATAAAAGTAAATAAATAAAGGTATTGTGTACATGTATAAAAAAATATTTTAAAAAGTGGGGGGTATGTATCTCAGTGATAGAGCTCTTGCCTAGCATGTGTGAAACCCTGGGTTCAATCCCCAGCACCATATATACCAATAATCATCGTCATCATCATCATTATCATCAGGTTGGGGATATAGCTCAGTTGGTAGAGTGCTTGCCTCGCATATACAAGGCCCTGGGTTCAATCCCCAGCACCACAATAATAATAATAATAACAACAATAATAAAGAAAAGTCACCCTGATTCCATGTAAAAACAAAATTTAAAACAAAACATAAATTAAATTATGTACTTATATATATTTATTTCTAAATATATATTTCTATATATTTATAGAAAAATGAGGAACATATATATATCAAACTGCTATGAATAGCTAGTTCTCTAAAGGATGTGGAATTTGAGAGGCAGGAACAGGAAGAAAGAGACCCATTTTCTGCTTTGTGTACTGCTGTATAGGCTGCTATTTTCAATGAGCATTTCCTACTTTTATAGTCTTTGGAATAAATCCAAAGAATACAAAGTATGTAAAGACTTGTCACTACATATCAAAACTCAGAGATGTGTGCATTTTTAATGGCTAAGATTTCAATTCTGTCAAAGTGTGAAATATGATATATCAAGAACTATGTAATGTTTTGAACAACCAACAATAAAAAATTAAAAAAAAAAAGATTTCAATTCTGTTCACTAAGTTCAATCTCAATTATATGAAAGAGTTGAAGATGAGATAGATAAGCAGCAAGGTAGGTAGATAGATAAGAGAGAAAGAGAGTAAATGGATCCACAAATGTAGGTCCAGACCTCTGGTTGTTACTAGAGAGTCCAAGAGCAAAAAAGAGGACCCCAAGAAAGAAATAGATGCAAAGAAAATCTTGTACCTTACACAATTCAGAATTCTGGTCAGGAGAGTTATTGCTATTATCTCCATCCTTAGGATGCCTAAGACCATGTGAATAGGAAGATTGTTTCATGGTTGAAAGAATAAGAGAATTTTAATTGCTCTCAATATCATCAGATCTTAATGGTTTCCTGTCAAAAAGTTTCTTTTGTGAAGAAAGAGAAACTTTCACACACTATTATTGGAAGGTAAACTAGTATAGCTATTATGGAAAACAGTATGGAGTTTCCTCAAAACACTAGAAATAAAACTACCGTATGACCCAGTAAATCCTACTACTGGGTATATATCCAAAGGAAATGAAATTGGTACGGTGAAGAGACATCTTCATTCCTCTAGTTATTGTGGCACTATTCACAATAGCCAAGATATGAAGTCAACGTAGGTGTCCATCAATGGATGAATGGATAAAGAAAATGGAACATTATTCATCCATAAAAAAGGATGAAGTCCTATCATTTATGGCAACCTGGATGGAACTTGAGGGGATTGTGTTAAGTGAAATACGCGTATATGTATAAGCTAAAAAAGTTAATTTCATAGAAATAGATAACAGAATAGTGGTTGCCAGAGGCAAGGAAAGGGTAGCGAGTATGAAGAGAGAATGGTTAACAGATACAATGGTGCAGCTGGATAGGATGAATAACTTCTAATGCTCTATAGCACAGTAGAGTAACTATGATTGACAACAATTAATTGTGAATTTTAAATAACTAGTAGAGGGGTCTCTGAATGTTCCCAATGCAAAGAAATTATAAATGTTTGACATGATAGATATATCAGTTATCCTTATCTGATCATTACCTATTGTATACATACATTGAAATATCATCCCATACCCCCTAAATATGTAAAATTACTATATGTTTATTAAAATTTTTAGTTAAAATTAAAAAATGAAATAGGAAAACAAAAATATGAACCTAGGGGGGAAAAAGGATCTTCCTTCTGAGACACCATGGGAAGTCACAGGGCAACCTTAGGAGGACTTCTGCATTATTTAGGGTGATACATAAATAATGGTAGCTTTGCATCTTATCACGGCCTACATTTTGGAATATACACCTCTTTCATTGTTCTCTTCCAGGATTTCCAATGAACATTCACCCAAACTCCAGATCCGGAGTCACAGCTACCTGAGGGCAGTAAGTGAAGTGTCAATCAACCGAAGCCTGGACAGCCTAGACCCTGCAGGCCTGCTCACATCACCAAAGTTCCGCTCCCGGAATGAGAGCTACATGCGAGCTATGAGCACCATTAGCCAGGTAAGCCCCATCAGATCAGTGGTGGGCAGGAGCCTTTAGCTGCAGAGGGTTAGTGAAAACTGAGAGGACCGGAGATGGAAATAGGGTCACTCCCCACGGAGATCATTGATGAATCAGACTGGTGGTCCAGTCACATGCTATAAAGAGTATGCACATGTTCAGGATAGATGCTACTGACAAAATCAAAGCAGTGTCTAATCATAAAAGTACTAAAGTATGGAGCAGGTCACAAGACAGGACTCAGGCACACGGAAGCAACATGTGACCCATTTACCTCAACTGGGTCCTGAGGGGTACTGTGTCTTGGTAATGAGAGTCCCACTGTGATGAATTGGTAACCAAGACTCAATGATGAAGACTCGTTACAGATGACTGAATACTGCATCCAAACTATTGAGCTAAAACTCTTGAGGTTCTCCCATCAAAAGCCTCAGTATTTGAAAAGACTGAACTCGGCTCAGGGGAAAAGAAAACCTGGGACTCAGAGGAATTGATCCTGCAGTTTTCAGGGGCCACCAGAGGAACAGAAAGTGCCTTGAGGCTCCCTCTGGGAGGGCATAAAGAAGGGTATTCTTGTTTTGTTTTTTGTCTTGTTTTGTTTGTGGTGCTGGGGATTGAATTCAGGACTTTGCATATGCTCTGAGCAAGTGTTCTACCATTGAACTAGCTCAAGAAGAGTATTTTTTTAATGATCTTAGACTAGGCTCTGTATATAAATTCACAGTACAATTTTTAAAAATAAGCACTGTACAGCTGGACCCAGTGGTGCACACCTATAATCCTAGCAAATAGAAAAGCTGAGCCAGGAGGATCTCAAGTTTGAGAACAGCCTCAATAATTTAACAAGGTTCTGAATACCTTAAGACCCTGTCTCAAAGTAAAAATATAAAAAGAACTAGAAATGTAGCTCAGTAGTAAAGCAGCCGTGGTTTCAACTCCTAGTACCAAAAAAACAAAAAAATAATAACAAACACCCTACCATTAATTCAGCCAATATTGTTTGAGCAAAACACTGGGCCAGATTTTGCAAGTTATCCAAGCGTACATAATACTCAGAGGTTGACTGCCTAATGGAGGGCATATAAAAAACATGAATGTTCCATAACAAACATTATCTTCTTGACCACCACAAAAACACCCTTCCTTCCGTCCTTCCTTCCTTCCTTTCTTTCTTTCTTTCTTTCTTTCAAAAACACTCTTGAGTAAGAGACACTTTTTGTTAGGAACTCCCATGCCAATTGCTTTATATTTTTATAAATAGTAGTCCTTAGAAACATACCTGTAAGATATGTAGGTTTAAATGGGACTTTCCCTGGGGCCATAAAATTGGCCACTAGATCCCAAAGCTAACAAAAAGATGGTAAGGACCCAGGAGCAAGCTTCTAGGAATGGGGTCTAGGAAATCACGTTTTAATAAGTATTCAAAGTGATTCTAATAGCATTGCAATTTGATCTGAACTTTGGAAAATACTAACCTAAAGCATATTCAGGAAATAGTGAGTGCTTTAGTTTTGCTGGAGCTTGTAATAATTGTAGAGACAGCACTGGGAGATCTATTCTGAAAATTGTTCTGGACACTTTTTTTTATGGATGGCTTTATATGCCTGGTCCAGAGAACTGGACTTTATTCACTTTAAAAAAAAACAGAAATGAATTGGCCTTTAATAATGAAGACTAATAAAATATCAGCTTTTAAACAGGTAATGGGTATTATAAGAACTTTTATGTGGGATCATTAATCTGGGAACAAAATGTAGGAAAGATAGAGGATGAAAGGCTAGAGACGGGCTGGTTTGGAAGACATTGTGATCATCACAGTGAAAATTAGTGCTGATGTTGGTGAAGTGGTGATGGTATAGTGTGGTGGTATTGATGATGGTGATAACAATGTTGATGGTGATGATGGTGATGGTGATAACACTTGTGGTACTGATGGTGGTCGTGGAAATGGTGGTGGTGGTAGTATTGATAATTACAGTGGTAGGAGTGACAGCTATGACAGTTGTAGTATAGTGTGGTGGTGGCAGTGACAGTGGTGGTGGTGGTGGTGGTGGTGACATAATGTGGTACTTACATGGATGAAACAAATAATAAACTTAGGAAAGAAATGATGAAATGGTAGACTGGTCGCTGAAGTATCTGACTGTGAGAATAACCCTAGAATAGGACCACTGCTCTCACTTTGTTTCTGCCATCAAAATAGAGATTTCTGATCTGAATAGAATCATGAAGTGCAAGTCAAGGTCCACAATCAGCCTCCAAGGGCAGGGCAGGGAGAGGACCAGGGAAAGCTGGCCTGTGGGATTCCAACAGTGAGCCACCATACATTTCCTTACTTTAAAGAAATCTCAAGCTGTGGTGGCACACACCTGTAATCCCCATGGCTTGGGAGGCTGAGGCAAGAGCATCACAAATTCAAAGCCAGCCTCAGCAACTTAGCAAGGCCCTAAGCAACTTAGAGAGACTTTGTCTCAAAATTAAAATAATAATAATAAAAGGGTATGGGGATGTGGCTCAGTAGTTAAGTGCCCTTGAGTTCAATCCCTGGTGCCAAAAGAAAATTGTTAAAAAAGAAACTCACACTATCAGTGCTAATTAATCCTTGCCAAGATACACACTATCTATCCCAATCTCAAGGAAATAGGTGGGGCATCATTTTGGTGCAATTTAGACTTGTTTTGTCCTCATTTCTAATAATAAATATTATAATATTTAAAACTTCTTAAAGCATCTTTATTCTACACAGCCTAGTGGTCACATAGTTTTTGAGAACTATACAATAGTCTTTAAATTTAGCTATCATATAAGCAGAATGCATAAGTGGGTTTAAAATTTTTCTGGGAAAAATACTTATACACATTTATAATTTTCATAACCTTAACATGTTTAGAACAAGGGAACATATAATTTCCTCCAGCAAGACCCTATGCTTTTGTTGCTGTCAGCTTTGAGTCCTTGTGCTGTGGCTCTGATCTTCCTTGGGACAACATCGCTTCCCAGTGGTAGCTTAGTAAGGTATCAACGAATAACACACAGGCACAAGAGAGCATTAATGCTCTGTGAGGTCAGTACTGCAATTCCATGGTCTAGTCATATGGCCTTAAGTAAAACAAAAAAAAGGTGGGGGGGGGGCATCCAAATTGGATCCTAATGACATATCATTTTTTTAGCACCATATTCAATTTTCTAGTAATGTATCTTTAAAACTTTAAGGATAATTTCATATTTCCTATGAAGTATTATCATTATTCAGAAGAGGATAGTTTCCTCTTTGAAGCAATATAATCATACACATACTCTAGACTTTTCAAAAAGTATTGGCTTTTATTATATTAGAGATATGCTCTTGTATACATCATTAGAAGCTAGAATACTGTCAAATTTAAGTATATTAGATCCTATTTCTGTTTAAAACCTCACATATTAATCATCAAAGACTCCTCACAGGATCAAAGTAAAATTTTGTAAGTCAAAGAATTGATCTATAATAATTAAATTGTTTCTGTCATTCATAATCTAAAGAAGTCAAAAATTGTGCTTGGATGATAAAGGAGAAATAGCATCTTTTCATGTTTACTCTTTTCTATACTTTATACATCTAATAAAATCGGGGTTACATAAAGTAAGATTTGAGAAAGAATTATAGAATATTGGGGTTTTACACACTATTTCATTTAACAGCCATCATTTCAAAATTAATTCATGTCTTAACTTATTTTATATCTAAATCCTTAGTATCCACATCTAGAATATCAAAATAGAAGCCCACAGATATATTTTATGTGGCAACATGTTGTGTTACTGCATCATTTTTCTAAAAAAAATTAATGTAGTAACTAGGGAAGTTTGTGCTTAGCATTAAAACCAGCAATTTACCTATAATTTTTGACTTAGAATATCTATTCAGTGTGTGTGTGCATGTGTGTGTGTGTGTGTGTGTGTGTAAGAGTAGAGACCCAGATGGATTGCCTATGGTACACAGCTAGACAGTTACAGAACCTTTCAGAAAACTCAAGTATTCCAACTCCTAACTGGTTAATTACTTCAGTACCTGCTAGTATTTGGTGGCAACACTGTTGTTACTGTCAGTAGTATTAACAATGGAAGTAACAATATATAGTTGCCACTTATTGGTTACCTGATATAGGCTAGGAGCTTTGCATATTATCTCATTAATTTACATCAACAGTATAAGGAATATCACTTTTTAATTTATGAAACTCAGTCTCAAGAGAGTTGGAAATTTGTTTATCTCATTCTCTCCACTCCACTGTCTCATAAAATAATATTGACACTTAGGTAGTGCCTACCATGTGCCCAGAAATATTTGACACATTAAGGAAAAGGGTTAAGGGCTGGAGATGTAGCTCACTGGTAGAGTGCTTGCCTGAAAAGCATGAGGCCTGGGTTCAATTCCCAGCACCACCAAAGAAAAGAAATAGAAAGGCTTAATGTTCTAGTTGCTTAAAATGCTCCTACAAATTAATAAGAAATGATATAAAACCCAAAATAACCTTGGGCAAAGCTTATGAATTAGCACATCTGAGAAAAAGAAATACCAAAGCAAATAAATAGTGAAAAAGATGTTCATCACAAAGGCAAATCAAAACAAAACAAAACAAAAACTCAAAAAGAAATGAATGAATATAAAGGATTCAAGAAAAGTGACAAATATCAAAGTATAGGCAATAGCCAGGAATGGTGGCACATGCCTATAATCCCAGCAGCTCGGGAGGCTGAAGCAGGAGGATCATGAGTTCAAAGTCAGCCTCAGCAACTTAGCAAGGCACTTAGCAACTCAGAGAGAGACTCTGTCTCTAAGTAAAAATAAATAAATAAATAAATAAATAAATAAATAAAGGGCTGGGGGTGTTGCTCAGTGGTTAAGCACCCCTGGGTTCAATGCCTGGTACCCCAACCCCCCAAAAAAAGTACAGTCAATAGAAAGAAGCTCCTGAAGAAGAAAATCAAAGCAAAAGAAAAAAAAACCAGTAACAAGAGCATTGTTTTTTGTTGTTATTGTTGCTGTGGTTGATCTTCACTGCTGGGAATGCAGCCCAAGGGTCTTCCCTATACAATTGATAGATGGATCTGATTCTATCAATTCTACCACTGAGCTATACTCTTACCCCTTAAACACAAAGCACTAATTTTTGTGTGTGTGCAAAAACGTTCCTGAAATGAGAAGATGACTTGAAACTACCTTGGAAGAACACACCACATACTTGAGAATTGACTCAAAATAATCAATACCAGGACATATTCTAGTAAAATTATATTCTAGTTTTTAAAAATCCCACTTAAAGGAATTTTTAAAAAATCTTTGAACCTCTATACAAAAAAGAGCTAATGACTGGAAAAAGAATGAAAAGGAAATTGCCATCAGAATCTTTCTGTAACAATGGTTCAAACCAGAAGATGGGGTAACATTTTAACATACTCCAGGGGGAAAAAATGAACCAATGATTTTTATATCTAAAAAAAACTGACTTTCAAATATAAAAGGCAGGGAAACGTGTTACAATGTTGTGTGGATGCAGAGAATGTTGTTCCTGTGAGTTTACCCTGGGCAATTTACTTGTCAATGAGATTTAGACAATCAAAACCACCAGACATAGTTCGTGGCAAACATTAAATACATAGAAATTTTTAGGATTAAAACTAAATGAAGGCTGGAGAGGAGACAGCATGTGGGTTTATATGGTGTCACAGTGTGCACAGCACAACTATTTTAAAATGAGGAAAGAACAGAGAGAACAGATGCAAAATAATTTTTAACTGCTTTCAATAATCAGATATGGACAATGATGATATTGTTATTCAGAGGTGGTTGTGTAAATATTGTGGAATAAAGCAAAGGAATAATTGTAGAATACTCCAATTCCATCATCTCCTGTGTTCTTGAAAACTTGAGTACTCAATAAAGATATAAGATTATAAAGATATAATATAAAAGATGTTATATTTAAAAAAACACTGAAATCAGAATTTAAATTATGTAGATTTGTTTCCTAGATCTATCTACTGAAAAGGCCTGAGATTAATAAGAGTGAATCTCCCTAGTGCCCAGATTCTGTTCTTGTAACACCAGGTCCACTTAAAAAAGAAAAGTTTTTTGGGGAAATATATGGGTCCCAGGACTGGGCATCGAAGGTATAAGTTTGGAATACCTTATCACAGCAGATATCAAGCACATGATCAAAGACTTTTGGTTTCATGTTAATAGGAATCAAGAGTCAATGTTAGGTGCCCACTAGTCAAAGATTGAACAAATTTAAGTTCACTAAGAAAGTGGATTTAAAAGTATTGTGTTAGTCAACTTTCCATTACTGTAATAAATATCTGACATCAAACAACTTGAAGGAAGACAGGTTTATTTTAGCTCACAGATTTAGAGGCTTTGGGACCTTTGATGTGGCAAAATATTGTGGCAGGGACCATGTCACCAAGGAAGCTGCTCACTTACAGTAGCCAGGAATCAAAGCAGACAAAAGAAGAAGCTGGAGTCCCAACATCTCCTTCAAGGGCCAGACCTTACCTCCTCCCACCAGGCCCCACCTCTTAAAAGTTCAACCACCTCCCAAAAGAGCCACAGACGTGCAACCAAGCTTTTGTCACATGGCCTATAGGGGACACTTATTCAAACCATAACAACTATTAAATATTTTATATCTGTAAGTTTATTTTGATTTTTTAAAAAATCAATTGATCAGGCTGGGGTTGTAGCTCAGTGGAAGAGCACTTGCCTAGCATTTGTGAGGCACTAGGTTCAACTCTCAACACCATATATAAAGAAGTACAATAAAAGTCCATTGACAATTAAAAAAATATATTAAAAAAAAAATAAATTGGCCACCTTTGGAAGATAAAAGGGAACAGATTTATTATCTCAAAACTTTGTAAATACAGGGGAATGGAAAATCAAGCATTTATTCTTCCATTTTCATATAAAAGCAACCATTAGGTAATTGGGTAATATAAGAGAGAAAGCATTTCTTTATAAAAAAATATTCCAACTAGTAACTGAAAAAGTTAACACTAAAATTTGAATATTGCCACTTTGCAACACCCGCTAGAGAATGAACGGATCTAGGCATTAAGCATAAATAATCTCTAACATAAAGAGGGGACAACCCAGACATAATGTGCCCTTTGATGAAAAAACACACACCAGGGCTGGGGTTATAGCTCAGTTGGTAGAGAGCTTGTCTCACATGCACAAAGCCCTGGGTTCAATCCCCAGCACACACACACACACACACACACACACACACACACACATATTCCACCTGAGTCAAATCAAGTCTCTGGCTCCCGCTTACAATTTTCTGGAAATACAAAAAACAGAACATGCCAAATTCCACCATTCATATGAATTTAGCAAAATCTAAACCTGAGAAGCTTTACTAGTCAAGGAACACAGACTCTTCAATAGGTAAGTTACAATCAAAAGAAATGTATGTTGAAGGTGAATTGATAGATGGATCTGATTCTTTTCAGTGGATAAGACTTAACTTAGGGTCTAAAGATACACAATTTGGTAAAAAATAGTGTAAAGAAATACAATGACATTTGCAATAAAACTCAGGATGGTAGTTATCGTTGAAGGTGGGAGTTCTGGGAGGGGGCATGTGAAGGGCTACTGGAAGCCTGGAAAAATTCTTTCTTGATCTGGGTAGCAGTTCCCAAGATGCTTGACTTTTTGTGATTGTGTTGTTATACCTTTATTCCATATGATTTTCTGTATCTGTGTATAATAAAAGCTTGTCCATTCTTTCTTTCCCTCATTCCATTTGACAGTTGCAGATATCCATCTCTTTACCTCTAAATGGATGCCCATGTATTTCCTAAAGAACAAAGACGTACAGATAAAGATATAGATATATGTTAATATGGAAGCATAGAGTTTATTTTCCTTGAAAATATGCAGTGATTTTAATCAAATTAGAGGATATGAAAGTACTATATTTAAGTTGTAAAGACATCAAGAAATGCATGTCTCTGTTTATATGCCTTAAAGTAATTGGTCACTTTTATTTGAAGTCTAAAGAAATTACCCATTACTGAAGCACATCTTCAGATAATACAAAAGAGGAGACAATGAAAAATTGTAACCATTTTCCACATGTGGCCTAAGCTGAATTACAGTTTAACCTATTAAATTCCCAATTACCCATATAAATTCAATATTTGGAAAAATAGAGACAAGAAGTCTTGGAAGGTAAATGAAAATTGCTTCCAAGTCTCTAGAAAATCAGCTACGAAGTAAAATATTGGCTGGAACATATAGTTAGGGACTTTTTTTTCTGCAAAAAGTACTCAAACCCAAGTTATATACAGAGGAATATTAATAAAAACTGATTCCTCAAAATGGGGAGGGAGGGCTCACATCCAAGAGCTTTTAAAGTACTCATAAATAATTTGTGGACCATCTTAGCTTTTTTATAAAGAGTTGAAACCTGTAAATAGTTTCAAAATCTTGATAGTGCTTTTCACAATTTTAACATATCTGGGCTTAGCCTATTTTTATGCAGAATGTATCTTGCCAGAGAATATAGGGCATGTTTCCATTACTTGCACTCAATTAAGCTTCAGTCAACACTGACACTATTGGAGAACCAGTCACTTCAAAAGGCACAGTAAAATACTACTTTCTAAAATGTGCATACTGAAAAGTTAACACTGAAGTACATGAAAGCTGACCGTGGACCGATAAAATTGCTCTCTAAATTCACGTTTATAAATAAGGAGGGGCTGGAGGTATAGCTCAGTGGTACAGCAGGTGCTTAGTATGTACGAGGCCCTGGGTTCCATTCCTAAGGTGGGGGGAGGAGGAGAGAAGGAAGGAGGGAGGGAAGGAAGGGAGAGAGGAATGCTTTGGAATAGGCTTCCCAGATATCATTTCCTCGCATTCTAAAAACAAAGCTCTCAAGGGAAAGAAAAATAACAACAACAACAAAAAAAGGCAAACACCTAGATTAGCTAGGTGTCATTCAATTATAGTCTGTAATATAATGGAAATAAGTAGCGCACACCTGTAATCTCAGTGTCTCAGAAGGCTGAGGCAGGAGGATCCCAAGTCAAAGCCAGCCTCAGCAACTAAGCGAGGCCCTAAGCAATTTAGCAAAAGCCTGTCTCAAAATAAAAAAATGAAAAAAGCTGGGGATGTGGCTCAGTGGTTGAGTGCCGCTGGGTTCAATTCCTGGTACCAAAGGGGGAGGAGATTTACTTACACACACACACACACACACACACACACACACACACACACACGAGAAATAAAATGCATTTCAGCTGAATACCATAAGACGCTGCTTTTTCTACTGGGAATTCAATTTGGAGATGCCCAGAGAGATCGGCCCTCCACCAGGTGGAGAACTAACCGCCAGGTGTTACCACCCCTCTGCTCGCAGGTGAGCGAAATGGAGGTGAACGGGCAGTTCGAATCCGTGTGCGAATCCGTGTTCAGCGAGCTGGAGTCGCAGGCGGTGGAAGCGCTCGACCTGCCCATGCCCGGCTGCTTCCGCATGCGGAGCCACAGCTACGTGCGGGCCATCGAGAAGGGCTGCTCCCAGGACGACGAGTGCGTGTCCCTGAGGTCGTCCTCCCCGCCACGCACCACCACCACGGTGAGGACCATCCAAAGCAGCACGGGTGAGTGAGCCGGCCGCGCCCCCGCCAGCCTGGCCTCAGGCTAGGGCACAACTGTCCCCCAAGACAGTGCGCTCACTGTTGTCACACACAGTTGCCAATAAGAAAATACCACCCATGTCCCAGGAAACAAAAGGTTTGCTTCCCTACCTGCTTCTATCCGCACCTCTGACCACACCCACACACCTCCCTCCCTCTCCATCCCCATCTCTGGGATTAACCCAGGAAACTAAAACTCTGGCACCATGAGGTGGGGACAGCACAGCATCCCAGGAGCCAGGAAATGGATCCCAACCGATTCCCACTCTCAATAAGAAGGCTCTGACTTTTAGGGCTGTGACTCTAAATGAATCAGATACCCTGCTTCTTGTGCATCACAGAATTAGATTTCTTTATATTATTCCAAGATAACCACAAAGTGGCTATCACAAAAGACCTGAAATGTCACTGTGAAGAAAAAAGGAAGAAATGGTGGGGCCACTAATATTAATTGAATGCTTTATGAGTTAACAACCAAAAGCAGATTTATCTCATCTTCTATCATATATAAATAATAGCTCCTTAACCCGATAAATTGTATTTAGGTTTATGCATTTTAGCTGTATTTTTATCAGTAGATTTTTAAGTACAGAGGCACAGAAAAGCTTAACTATTTTCCACCACACTGGAACCTGCATAGTAATGTAGCCTTGAGTGGTGTATGATGATACAAATAAAAACAATTGCGTTCCAAGAAGAAAATCTCTCCCTCTTAACCAGATTTAACTTTCTGATTAAATTCAGCATAATTCAAATAGAGTAAATCCCCAAGAAGATCATCAAACTTGGAGTCAAGATTTTTTAAAATGATGAATAAATTAGAAAGAAAAGCCTGTATTAGAATACTGTAATATTTCATTTTAGTTCTAGGTGCATCAAATACCAATAATTATGATTCAGCCTAGAGCTTTTGCAGGCTTGAGTAATAAGAGGTCTTCAAACTCAAGTTAAAATCCTAACTATGCAACTAGAAACCTACAGGACTGAGGTAGAAAATTTTTTAAGCCATAAGAGGTTAAATGAGAGGAGTTCGTTTTTGACCACTGCCAACAAAGACCTCGGTGTTAGGAAAAGGGATGTTTCTAGACATTTGTGCAAGCTCAGAAGCTGTGACCCTCTCTGGCCACCTCCAGATCCAAGATAATGGATGTCCATTCCTGCTCATTAGGAAATACTCCAAAAACAGTCACAGATAACATTAACAAATTACATAAAACTTATTTACAAAGAGGAAAAATGTTTCAAGAAAAAAAATCAACCACGGGCATATTTATGTGTGTGTTTGCATTCATGCAGTACTTGTAGCTTTGATGGTCTGCTCTGTGTCTTTTGGGGTCCCCACTCTGCCAACCTTTCCCCAGTGTCTGGTCTATTCCTCTCTATAATGATCTCATTGTCTGCCAGCTGAAATGGGTCCTTAAATACAAACAAACAAACAAAAAAAATGCAGAGCCTGAGTGCCAAGGGGCACCCTCAGGAGAGCAGTCTGTAAGGGAAGGATCACTGGCTCATTCCTGCTTCCTCCGGGAATGGTGTTGGAAGATCAAGTGGTGAAAGACTGAGTGGCTTTACCCTGTTCACCTATCAAAGGATTTTGTATTTTTGTCATTAAGAGGCGATTTTACTTGTATTTCACGTATCAGTTCTTACTCCCCCGGCTTTCACACACCCACAACTCTGGACCTAAGACCCTTCCCAGATACTCTGGAGGCTCCTAGAGTTCAGAAAACAGGGTGGCCAAACAAAATCTGGGTCACTTAGTTAGATTCTAACTTCAGATAAATAGTCAATAATTTTGAGCTGGGCACAGTGGCACACGCCTGTAATCCTAGCCTCTTGGGAGGCTGAGACAGGAGGATCACAAGTTCAGAGCCAGCCTCAGCAATGGAGAGGCACTAAGCAACTCCGTGAGACCCTGTCTCTAAATAAAATACAAAATAGGGCTGAGGATGTGGCTCAGTGGTCGAGTGCCCCTGAGTTCAATCCCCGGTACCAAAAATAATAATAATAATTTTGTAGTATACCTCAAATCGTGGATGGGAAATACGTATACAACAAAAGTGTTTGTATCTGTGCTAAAATCCAACAGACCTATCAGAGAAAGAGATGAGTGGGGCCTGGGAGGGTGTCCTGTGTTGTTCCATTTAGAATCTGAATTGAATCTGAGAAACTTTATCTAGAGGCTTTATGTGGGAGAACACCCCAAACAAGGAGAATTGAATAAAAACCACACAGAGGAAACTGCACCCTCTCCTCCTTGGGCCCCTTGAGTCTTGTCCTAAGTACTGGGCCACCTCCCATTGCTGCTTTCTGAGTAAGAAAGTTCCAGGCTCAGCTACTCCTGCAAGGATGTAAGTCAGGAAGATGTGACTTGCCCCTTGGGGTGGGAGGGTGAGGGATAACATGCCAGATTTTTACACAAGGCAGCTCTTGACTTGGCTCTTAATCATCAAACTAAACATTGTGAAATGTTATTTTTACGGTCATGGAAAAATAAAGTACTCAACCATTATGGTAGATTCTGAGTAGCCTATCAGATATTTAGGAGTGAAATTTTAAAAATTCACTCTCACCTTTCATAGTCTCTGTATCACAGACTTGAAAGAACACACTCACCTGTGGAAATCAGGAAACGGTGTTGCTCTAATTACTGATCTTGCCTACGTACACAGGTGAGGTATGCGTCTAGATAGAGCAGGACTTGGCGGGTTCTCCTTCTGCTTCTCTTCCTATGCTTATTAATCTTGGATATTCATAACAGATTCATTTTTTTCCCCAAACTTGCCCGCGTTCTGAAAAAAAATTCTTCATTTTTCTTCAAGTGTTGTTTTTGATACAACTTTTCCCACAATCCCCACTCTATGACCTTGATTTTTTTGTCAGCTCATTCTAACTGTTGAAATTTTCAACACAGTGTACTATTAAGCCTTTCTCTTCCAGTCTTTGTTCATATTAGCAACCTGAAATCACAAAAGTCTGCAGAAGAGTCTGATGCCACATGAGAGTCTAAAGATAGGCTCAGCTCTAAGAGGCAACGGGGATCTTCTAGAGGATTATTAGCAGGAGGTTGAGGATGAACAGAGACATCTCCAGCAATGGGGACAAATTAGGAAAGAGTGAGGGAGTGACTGATTGCTATGTTTCCTTTGACTTATTGACTTCTTGGCTTATCTATAATAGCATCTTATTTTTCTCAATCTGTAATGTATTTCAGTCATCCAAATCTCCCTCCATCCAATAGATTCAATAAGTTTTTTTAAATAAGTTTTATTCTTAATCAATACATAATACTGTACATGTTTATAGGGTAATACAGTGTGATATACACATGTACACTGTGTAGTGCTCAATCAGGGCAACTAGCATCTTCATCACCTCCAAAATATACCATTTCTTTGTGATGAGGATATTAAAAATCCTCTCTTCTATCTATTTTGAAATATGTAACACATTGTTTTTCACCAGTTATAGTCACCCCGTGGTACAACAGAATTCCAGAGCTGGTTCTTCCTATGTGTGTTCAGTGAAATAAGCCAGGCCCAGAGGAAGAAATACTGCATGATCGCACTCATGTGTGGGGTCCAAAACAGTTGATCTCATAGAAGTTGAGAGCAAAATAGAGACTAGGAAGAGCTGGGGAGAGGTTGGTCAGCAGATACAAAGTTTCAACTAGTTTTTACATGAACCACTGTAGATTCAGATAAGAGCTACTGTAGGAAAGTGAAATGAAAAAAAATGGGGCAGTTATCCTCATGTATATGGAAAACATGCACCTTTGCCTCAGTCCTCTGAGTATTTTAGGTAAGAGTAGAACTTAGGTGCCCAAAATAAAACCAGACTCCCATTTCGGAGTACTAGATTAAATCTGCCCCTTACAGAATATACTAATGCAGTGATATCAGTTTAAGGGTGAGCTTTCTTTTTTGCTTCCTATGCTGAACATTTTCTAGAACTTATCAAAAGCATTATCATGTTGTAGCTAGGCAGATTGGCATCTAGTGATACCAGTAGCATAAACAGGCAGAAATATTGTACCATGGTTTTAAGAAGACATGTACCCAGAAAGATGGAGACACACACTTGTAAGTATATACAAAAAGCAATCAGAAAAGACACCTTACTAACCAGTAGTAAGTGGAGAGGGTTGGAGGGCATAAGAGAAGAAGGTTGGGGTTTTTTTGTTTATTTGTTTGTTGTTTTGTTTTGTTTTTGTACCAGGGATTGAACCCAAGGGTGCTTAACCACTGAACCACATCCCCAGCCCTTTTTAGTTTTGATTTAGAGACAGGTTCTCATGAAGTTGCTTACTGCCTCACTAAATTGCTAAGGCTAGCTTTGAACTCACAATCCTCCTGCCTCAGCCTCCTGGGCCACTGGGATTACAGGCATGTACCATCACGGCTAGTGAGAGGAAGATTTTCAAAAATAAGCACTTACTGCTTTTATGAGTTTAGATCCAATATAACATCTGAATAAAAATAATACTCTCACAGAAATAGTCAACTCTCATGAGAGTATGATTCTTGGGTCTTTTTGAGAAAAGTCTTCACTTTGAATTACAGGCTTTTCAAAGACGCTTTACATAGCAATAAAAATTCTTCATAAAACATAGAAAGAATATGTAGGTTCATTGGCTACACTGTTATTGCTGCTGAAGTTTGACCTGTGTGGTCTGTCATTTCCTAATTAGGGGAACCTCTATAAAGATGATGGATTGAACTGGGTTCCTTTATGTAGCCCTTGAAGAAGGAGAGCAAGGACCTAGGGCATAGTACACTGTGGGAGAACACCAGTGATGTCCAGCCAGGGAGTCAACAGTTTGCCCTCCTCGGCATAAACCTGAGACCACAGTTACAGCCATATATGCAGTTTGGTTGTTCCAACAATAGAAATCATATTTTCCTCTAAATCGAGATATATTCTTCCCACACTCTCCCATCCCTGACAGTTCCACCATATATATT